CAGAATCTCACAATGCACAAACAAACATCTTCCTGTCTCTGCACAAAAAAAAAATATATATATATCTTATTAGCATTCACTAGAAATAAGTAACCGAATCACTGATGATGAGATGCAGAATTAGTGAATCAAGGGGCGAGAAAATGTAATTGATGAGATAGGCTTAAGCTTAGTTAACAGGTGAAATAAGTAACCGAATTCTAACCATTGAGGAACCAACACTTGACAGATAAGCCAAGCTGAATCAGTAAATCAAGGAGTCGAAACTTACCTTTGCCAACAAGATGCTGGCGATTGCTTATTAGCTTGAACCAGAACCAGCAGCACATGTTCCTTTGACACCCATTTCATTCAAAGAATGATCATCACCTGCTTCTGATCTATCATGCTCATTGTTTGATTCAGGAGTCTGATTTCCTGAGCCACTTGATACAGATGCAGTGCTGGGTCTACTGTTTTCTCTAGTTTCTAGACGTTCCATCATGCGGGACACAGTGGCGATTCCAGCACTGACCTCTCTTTTAACTTCAGAACCAAGGTCTGCCATGGAAGTGTTGCGAGAAAAAAATCTATCTTTCCAGTTCCTTGTGTTCTTTGATATCGATTCTTTGTATCTACATTGAGCATCAGGAATCACCCTTAAGAACTGATAAAAAAAAATTCATATACAAGCAAAGTTTAGCCAGACAGAGATGGGATTACCTCGTTGAGACAGCATTTAATCGAGACTTTAGTGATTCAGAAAATGATTGAAGCTCTGATGGTCCAGCTCTATCTTGATCACTGGGGGAAGATTGATTAGGAGACCTGCGTATGGTAAAAAAAAAAAGAGGAAGGCTCAGATTAGCTGCATGTAACTACTAGACAGTTATAAGAGACAATATAAGGCGATAATTCGGGTGAAGACCTGCTGTTTGAATCAGATGCTGAAGGAGAAACCTGGTGGTGATGGAAAGAAGTTGGCGGCTGCATGTTTGACTGAAGAGAACCCTCCCCTGTAGTATTGTGAGGGGAGAGAGGAAGGCTTGTGACTGTGTCACTCTCATCTCTCTGAGATGGAGAGGAAGGCATGGGTGGATGAGGTGGAGGAGGAGAAGCATTTGGATGCGAAGAGAACACCATGAACTGTGGATGACCTTGACTTGATGATCTGCTTCTGTGGCCTTCCCTTCTTACCCCATGCCTTGCACGTCCCATAGCTGCAGCAGCAGCCAAGTGCTGAATGATTCGTTCTTCAATCTCTGCATTGTCTACCCCCACTGGGAGCTGCATTTAAGGGAATTTGTACAAAGATGGAGCTCTATTAAGATAATTCGCCAACAAAGAGATGCAATCAAGTCATAATGATATTATGAGAGTCGCATACATGTTGTAATTCAAAATCACCGAGAGTTGGATGACGGAAAATAGTGGCATTTCTAGAAGGATTGAAGCGGAAATTTCTCTCCTGTACAACAGCCTCAAGCAACTCCTGACTGGAAACATAGAAAACACATAACTGAAAACTCTATAGAGAATACCTCATCACGGTAACTTACCAACAAAAACGTATTACGAGTAGACAAAATTAACCTTGTGGGATCTTTGAGACTAATTGCTTGCCAACACATTGGGCACTGTGAACTCCTTTGACACCTGAAAATTTGAAACACGTATCTGATAAGCTTGCCCAAAGAAGAAACACGAATACAAAGCTTCAGGTAGCGATTACTAAGAGTTCCTTTTTTCCCCTTGAGGAGTTTCCTACCGGAAACACAAGAATACAAAGTGGATATTTTTGTTAAATGGTCACACGGTGAGAGTATATCTCATTACAAAGCTCTAAACAGCGGTAAATGTAGTCAACGTAGCTTACCACTCGAGGATGCATTGAAGATGATACTCATGCTTGCAACTAGTCAACTGCGAGAGATTATAAACAAAAAAAAAAAAACATAATCGAATCAATGTGTGAGTTGATTAAAAAAAGGTCTAATTTTCGATACATACAGCTGATGGATCGCTTTCGCAAAAGACTTCAAGACAAATGCTACAAGCATCATCACAAGGATCTTGGATTCCTCCTTCAACAAATGCTGCCGCCGAAGTCAAATGCCCTTCAGAAGTCGTCGTCGTATCTCCAGTTCCCTGAAATTGAATTTGTCAATATCAAACATTTCATTCAAAATCCAAGAGCAAAGACGAGAGAAACTGTAACAATTCAACACAGTTTTCGAGCCCTCAAAAATCGGAAAACAATAGCATTTTCAGAAGAATTTAAGCAATTACGCCGAATCAGATCAAAATATCTCTACTGCAAAAAAATCATAAACCAAAATCTAATGACATATGTATAACAATTGAGAATCGATTTGATTTCATCGGCATAGAAATGAAATTGAAACGGAGAAAAACCCTAACCTCCATGGGAATCGCGAAGAATCGGGAGCAAATGGAGATGGAAAAGAAAAGACGATCGAAGGGAACCTAACTAGGGTTAAGATAGAGAAGATTAAAACCCTAGATTCATGATTCCCCGAAGATAATGGGAAGAAGAATAAAAAGAGGAGAGGGGAGAATGAAGAAGAAGACAAAGACC